TCTCTTCAGATTGCTGGTTCTTCACTTTTGGTGGCAGAAAGAGAGATGAGCTTAACTTTTCAGAATGGGATTTTTCTGGAAGACAGGAGATGAGAAAAAAGGGAAGGTAAAGCCGGTAGAGACAGAGGACAGGGTAACAGGAAAGATTTAGTCGTACAAAGTGAAAGAAGAGGTGCGGGTCAGAGGACCAGCTCAACAGGGAGCGGAGCGTCTTCAGACCCTGGGAACCAAGAGAGGCAGAGTAGACTGAGAAGCACCCTCAGCCTGTGAGCAGGCCGTGCCACTAGAGGGCGGGCCTGTGGGTGGGGCCCCTGCTGAGGCTGCCCAAAGTGCTGGGAATGCCACAGCTCTTCCCACCACGGGACCGAAGCCAGGGCTGGCACAATGAAGTTTCTGCAAGAAGTTCTCTGGGACTTTGACCATAACCAGCAGGCTGAGTCTAAGTTGCAGAGTTCTGGCCATAAATGTTACTCATTTTTACATCGAACACTGAAATGTGTAACTTGCAGGCATTTTGTGTAATATGAACTTTGGTATTTTGGAACTTTGATATCTTAGATGTGAACAATTTTTTGATGTTGTTTTTTGAAACAGGGTCTTGCTGTGGGGTTCAGGCTGATATTGAACTCACTTTGTAGCCAGGCTGGCCTTGAACTCATGGCAATCCTCCTGCCTTAGCTTCAGAGTGCTGGGATTACAAGTATGAACAATTTGAGGCTTGAAAATATAAATTGTATGGGACTGGGGATTTAGCTCAGCGGCATAGGTGCCTGCCTTGCAAGCGCAGGGTTGTGAGTTCGATCCCCAGTACCGATAAAAAAACAAAACAAAACAAAACAAAACAAAAAACCATATATATATATATATATATATATATATATATATATATAGTTAAAATGGTAAAATTATTCTCCCATTCATTCAATATCAATAAATATATGAACAGCTCCTACACACCCAGCACATGCCACAAAAACAGAAGATTAGAAATTTTGTTTAGTATTAGGAAGAAAAAATTAAATGGAGACTGAGATATTTCCCCTAGAATATTATTCCCATTTCAAAGAAAATAAAATTATTTTGCAGCATTGAAAGTTTTCGAAGTACCTACACTTCTTCCATATACAAAATATTTTACATCAAGTACAATGAAAACATTCAATATAATGGTAAGAAGGAATAAGAATCCAGATCAGAGATCAGTATGATGATTTGGATAAAAACCACCTTTCCTTGTTATTATAGAACTTTAATGTGGTTCTCAGTTTTCAGATAGCCAGAATTAAAGAGAAACACAGTGATACCTTGTTCATGAACTGAATTCTTCCCACAGAAAATCAAATCAAATTTCCCCATAATGTCAACATTAAACCTAATCATTGAATTAGACTCGGTTCTTGTCCAGCTCAGTCTGGGATCAGAAATGTGGAAAGCACTAAAGTCTGTGAACTGAGAACTGTTGTATTTACCTTGTTGTTGTCAGAGAGAAATGAGTCAATTTCCTAGCATAAACTTCTAGCATTTATCTGCATACGGGTTTCACACTGATAGGGACATTAGGAACGACTTTCTTCACATGAAAGAGGACAAAATTCTGCTATCCCACAAGCTCTAAGAGGATGATGGCCATCCACTACCCACGCCCAGGACACTACCTGGCACCCAAGCAGGCATTCAGGTGTTTGTGGAACTGAGGAACAGCCAATGAGAACAGGATTTCATTCTGAGCCTGGGCTGCAGACTTCCCTCCCTACTGTTAAGTGACAGTGTCAACAGCCTGACGTTTGGTGTGCAGACGTGCCAGCGCTGCCTACCTAGACTGTTAAGGAAAATGGACAGAAGGTCCCCACGAACGCTTTCAATCCGACGGCATTTCTAAGCTGACCCAGCTGCGATTCCCCAGGTCTGGCAGACAACACGAGGACTTTATAGAAAGGATGTCTTGAGGGAACCCACAAAGATGGCAATGCCAGAAAAGGCAAGGGAAAACAAGCACAGGAGGAGACTGAGTGAAAAGGCCACTCAGACCTCGTGATGGAGCAAATGGTAGAGGGAAGGGACTGACCTTGCGGTCATGGGAGGTGAACAGACAGTGATACGAACTGGAGAAGGCAAAGTCCAAAATACACGGGTTAATCTGGAGTTAAGCAGTCAGGGGGCCTGAGGGTTTCCGAGGCTAAAGCTACCCATAGGTTAAGGCAGAACGGGGAGGGAATGAAGCCTCAGTCTTCTATAAACCTAACAAACAAGCCTAGGCAGAACTCTGGGGCAACGGAAGTGTGGGAGTGACTTAGCAGAGATCAAGTTGTCAGAAGATTCCGACTATCTCTCAGAGGCACACTCCAACCTGACAGCCAGGGCTACGTGTCTCCTCTGCACTGTGTGACGTGGAAAGAAGGGATGGTGCGTTAATCAGCTTTCTATAGCTGACACAAAATACCCGAGAAACTCAACTTAAAGGAAAAATGGTTCACTGTAGCTCAAAGATTTTCATAGTTGGCAGGCTCCCCTGCTTTTTGCCCTGAGGGCAGGCAAAAATATCACAGCAGTGCTGGGCACGGGGGCACACGCTTGTGATCCCAGCACTCAAGGCTGAGGCAGGAGGATCACTGTGAGTTCAAGGCCAGCCTGGACCACACAGGAGACCCCGTCTCAAAAACAAACAAACAAACAAACAAACAAACAAAGCATGGCATGAGGGCACAGCAGGGGAAAGCTACACATTTCTTTACAGCCAGGAAGTAGAGAGAAGAGAAGGATCCTGAGAGAAAAGGGCAGGAACAAGGTACAGTCCCAAGGCTCATGCTCCCATGATCCCCTCTTCAGCCCCCACCTCCTGTTTCCAGCATCTCCTCATAATGCCCTCAAATTATGATCTCACCAGCGGGTTAATCTACTGATAAACTTGGAGCCCTCGTGATTCAGCCACTTCCCCAAAGCCTATCAGCAATCAAGCCTTCAACACAGCAAGCCTATATTGTGTTGTGGCAGGGGGAGGGGATATTTTCTGTATTACAACCATAACAAACGACAGCAATCTGAATGAGGAACCCAGCTAGGCCCATCTGTGGATTTTTTTTAGTCTCTCTATGCATCATTTCTTTCTTCCTCCTTTATTTATTTTATCAGTACCGGGGATCGAACTCACGACCCTGAGCTTGCAAAGTAGGTGCTTATCCTGCTGAGCTAAATCCCCAGCCCCTCTTCCTCCTTTATTAAATAGGGTTTTCATCATCTATAAGATGAGGGAGGTCGGCGAACTTCCTTATGGCCAGCTCCAAGACAGAAAGCCAAGGGAAGATTATACTTTTAGTTTCTAGGATCCACAAGAGAGAAGTGAAATTCTAGTTTCTCTGTTGCCCATGGAGAGACTTGCTTTTTGAGGCCTAAACATTGCCGAGGCCCCAACATCACTGTCTGTCACCTTTATTGCTCTGAAGCTGCTCCAAAGCTGCTGTTTCAGGAAGGATAAAAGCCAATATTTTCACTGGTTTTTCAAGTCTTGGGAAATAAGAACTGTGGGAGTTATGAACTGCCACCTGTGGGCAAAACCCAACAATATATATCCTAAAATCATACCACGCTACTTCTTTGCAATGGCTCTTGTTTACATATCTTGTCTCATGCTCATGCATGTCTAGAATGCGATGCTTAGACTGCAGAGGAGGGAAAAGCCAATGCCTGACTTGCTTTGAGAAAGGGTGAGCCAAATTCACCCTTTCTCCCAACCAAAGAGAATACACCCATGCCTTTTTCTTGTAGGTCTTAGCGGTTTAATTTGAGTCTAAAGTACACCTTAGACTTGAAGAGCTAAGGTACGGTGTATTCACACAGTGCAAAACTTTGCACCATGGACAGATATATGACTCAAGGAGGGGCCATGTCGGGGGCATTTCACGGGTACAGGACAGCAATTCCACACATACTTCAAAGTGCCACAATCAGGATACCTATTATGATCTGCACTTAAAAAGCAGACTTAAACTAGGTGGTGGAATATGAGTATATATTTTAGTATTTTCACACCTTTTTTGTGTGTTTGAAATACATTACAATAATAAATTTTTCTTGAAATGGACCTAGCAATTTGTACCACTCCTGTTCTTTGGGAAAGCTTGTATTCAAGTGACAGTTTAAAAATTAATTTTATACACATTAAACTGAAGAAAATATTCATGATTTCCTATCTCCATGTATTGATTATTAGGAAGAAAGGAATTTCATCAGTCCAGCAGCACCTTCTATGGGAATGTATTTAACTGGTTAATATACAGAAATCGAGACGATTATCAATTTTGTTTTTTTTTTTTTCTTTCTCAATATGTACTTTGGATTTTGGCTACACCAAAATGTTTGGCTTGCCAAGATTTAAGCTAACTGAAATTGAAAAAAAGAAAGAAAGAAAGAAAAAAGATGGGGGTGGTTAGCTTAATTTTCAAAAAAAGCTTTAAAAAGTGTTTGGGGTAAATTTCAATAGAATTCCCTTAAATGTACTGGCTAGTCATGAAGTATGGTGGCTTTTTAAGGACATGTTTCCTAAAGCGTGGAGTGATAGTGCAAGCTTTGGAATCAAGAGGCTAAACTAATGCAGAATCATGACAACTATGTGGCACGGAAAGCTACCTAACCTCGCAGGGGCTGCTTTTACCTCTGTAAAACGGGGACAATAATATCTAGCTTACGAGATGTGGTGAAGATCAGAAATTTTAAATACAACGCTGTGCCTAGCTCACAGTAAGTGCTAAACAAATGGTGGTGACTTATTTAAAGCACTGAGTCTCTTACTTGTCTTGATGCAGGTCCAGATTTTGTTATCATTTTTTTAAGTTCAACATTGTGCAAGTTACAAAAACAAGAAAGCCCAGGTTCCGGCCTCGCAGCAGCTCACAGTAACCCCGTAGCGGGTCCGCGCGCCTGCACCGGCCGGCGGCGCCCCCCCACGGCCGCGCCCCCTGCCCCGGGAAGGGCGGCCTCCCGCCCGCCGCGCGCCCCGCACTCACCAGCGCCCCGTGCACCAGGGCGTCGCAGCACAGCCAGGCGAGCGCCGCGCGGTCCGTCGCGCCCCGCCCGCGGCCCAGGCGCAGGCCCAGCGCGCAGCCGGCCGCCAGCAGCGCGGAGCACAGCAGCAGCGGGCGGCCCGCGGCGGGCGGCGGCTCCCCGGCGGCGGCCATGCGTGCGCGGCCCCGGGCGGGCGCGAGCCGGAGGGCGGGCCGAGGGGCGGAGTCCTCCGCCTGGCGGGCTGCGGAGGCGGGAGCTCGCGGTCTGCCTGCGGGGCCCGCTCCGGCTCACAGATGCCGCGCCAAGCCGTCCGGTCCGAGCCCGCGGGGATCCACGGCGCACATTTTAATGCGGTTTCAAGTTCAGTAACTTTGTGCCACAAAGTGCAGTCCAGATGGTGGAAAGTTTGCTAACAGAGTGGGTAAAATTTTGGGACAAAAGTAGACCTTGCAAATCTCGCTGGAAAGGTTCAAGGCAAAGGTGTATCATGCTTTTTAAAACCCTGTGGCTGATTGATCATATTTCCGTGCTTAAAAATCCAAGCCTGTAGCTGTGGAGCACACCTGTAATCGCAGCATTCTGGGAGGCTGAGGCTATATATATATATATATATATATATAAAAAATTTAATTTGATTTTTTTTCTTTTTGAGGTCTAAAGGTCTGGAGATGCTGCTCAGTGGAAAGCCCTCAGTTCAGTTCCTTACACCGGGGAGGGAAAAAAAAATCCACAGAAACAGTAAAGGCTTGTGGTTTGTGGTAGAGGAGCAAGCAGTTGTACTGGCCTGTTGCTAAGTACTTTTATCTATGTTGTTTTAATTTCGAGGTCAGTGAAATAAGGCAGTCACAAGACAGTATTATATGATTCCATTTATATGCGGCATCTAAAGTAAATTGACACACTGATGGGTAGCAGAGGTTTGGGGGAGGAGAAGGGTTGTTTAATGGACAATTTCAACTTTGCAAGATGCAAAAGTTCTGGAGATCTGAATATAGTCAATGTGAATGTACTTAAATATACAATATTAAATAATGTGAGTATATTTAATATACTGAACTATGACTTAAAATGGTTAAGGTGATAAAATTTTGTTATGTTTATTTTACCACAACTTTAAAAAGTTATTGGAGACACAAGTTCAAAACCCTTTCCCCACCAGGTGTAGTGGTGCATTGTAATCCCAGCACCTGGGAGGCTGTGGCAGGACTCTGCCATGAGTTCGAGGCCCTGGGCTACATAGTGAGTTCAAAGCCAGCCTGGATTACACAGCAAGTCCTTGTCTCAAAAACAAACAAACGCAAAAACAAAGTAAAACCCTTTCCCCTAGTCAGTTCCTATAAATATTTTTAAAAATTTTATTTAAAAGGAAAAAGAAAATATTTTATGTAGCAGACACCATCAGATGAAATATTTTTGTTTTACCTCTAGTCTCTTACCAATAGAAAGCTTCCCAAATCCAGGGGTTGTGACTAGCTTGTAACCCTTTCATCTATGAGAGCTGCTACTAATTGTAGCAGGTTAAGTGTCTAACCGACAGAAGGCATACGGCTAATCCTGCTGCAGATGCTGTGCAGCGTAGACCAGTGATCACTCTTCTTTGTGTAATTACTGTATTTCTCAATTTCATTTCCCAACCAATTTTCTCACATTCTCACCCTGCCCTCAGAGCAAAGCAGAAACCAAAATAAATGATTTGATTCATTGTCTTCATGTTCCGTCCTTTCTACTCATTTTTGTCTTCACCTGAGTTGATCAGTGATCTCTGGATCACTAAATGCAAAGTAAAGCTCATGTCCAAACTTTGGGTGACCGCTTAGCAGTATGGGCACTGAAACATCAGCTGAGAAAGCACAGAGGTCTTTCTTTCTGTATCCCTGACCCATCACTTCAGTTTCTGCTGAAGGCTTGTCCACCACAAGCCCAATAAACGTTGGAACTCTGCAACTCACCCCAAACTTGGTGAGTCTCATCTTCACCCCCTACTTTAACAGCCATCCAAATAGGCAGAGACTCTCTCTGGACCCGTCCCTAGCTCAGGACTCCCCTTCCAACTCCAGACATTCCCAAGTGCCCTGCGCCATTTGGATTCACCACACAAGCCCGTGCTCATCACCCATCCACTTGGTGTCAAGTCTCTTCCCATCTCGTGTTGCTTCCATCGACTCAGGAGATGTAATCCAGAAACCTAGAACCCTCCTGACACTTCCGTGCCCTGCTGCCAACAGCTCAGCACCATCAACTCGTGTTAGTGGCTAAACATCTCTCATCAACGCACTTCACGGACCAAGTGCTTCGGTGGCAGACACCAACAGTACACTCACGATGTGACCAGTGACCTCTCGCTAAGCCCAAAGGGCATTTCCTGTCCTTTCTTTCCTTACTGATGATCCTTACTTAAAAAGTATTCTGTCACTACTCATTTAGCAATTCTGCCTTACTCTTAGAATGCAGAAATCCTCTGCATGACTCATCAGGCTGTGGGCTCTCCTTTCTGGGTCCCTCCCTGCCCCTCTCGACCCTCCCATTACAAAGTTGACTTGCTTTTGCTCCTTGCAGTGCCTGCCACGGTGCTTCCCACATGGCCTTTGAACACTCTTTACCACCGCCAGAAAGCTTTCCCAGTCAGTCTATCCAAGTAAACTGTGGCTTTTTCTTATTTGGGCAATTTTAGCTTCTCTGCCTGTGAATAAGACCTTCACTTGAGCTGCTGGGACTCAGTCTGCATTTGTGTGATGCTCCTAACAGGGCTGACACTTAAGGGTTCCCCATCAGCCTGATGACCACTTTCCTCATCAAGTTAACTCCTTCTATTGTGTGTCACTGTACACTGTTTTCTTACTATTTACCATAAACTTTCACTCTTCCTACAACCTTTAAGAGTATTCTGTGCCCTCACAGTATCTGGCATGGGATAGGGAGTTCAATAAATATGTATTTGCATGTTTCTAAAGGCTCAAAGTGTTTATTCATAAACGTCTGAAAAGACCGAAGATACTGAAAAGGTCTGTACAGCTAACGGCCAGGAATGGTGGAGCAGGCCTGTGATACCAGCTGAGAGGACGACCACAGGTTCAAGTCCATTCCCGGGAATTTAGCAAGTGAGATCCTATCTCAAAAAAACAAAACAAAACAAGCCTTGGATTCAATCCTCACTACCAAAAACAAACAAAAAATGAGTAAGCCGGGGCTGTTGCTTTATCACAAATTAATCATGAAGCTGATAAAGTAACTCAAAGCTTTCCACATTAGGATTCAATGTCCAGATAACTACCCAGGAACTATTTGCACCACTCTTTTCTTGCTGGGAGATGTGGAGTGCATGTGCTGACAGAACTAGATTTTGTAATGAAGAGGCAATACACTGGGCATTGCTCTGGCTGAAGGAGGGAGCCTGTAACTGACCAGTTTTTTTTCTATCTGGACATACAAAAAATCTTGTCCCAATCAAAAGGATTAATTTATGATGGACATTTAAACAGTGATTTTTATTCAGGATTAAAACACAACATTAAAACTAAAGCTAGTGAATAAAGCAGAACAAGCTTCCTTGAGATATTTCATTTGCCTAAGTTTTTCTAATCTCTAGTTAATAAAATGGCTTGCCTCAAAAATCTGACTTTATTTTTAAAATATTATATAAAATGTATACCTTCCTTTATACCACTTAGGTTGTTACCATAAAAATGACCATCTAGTAAAATTGCTGGCCATGAACATGTTTCATGCTTATTTTATGGCTTAATATATTTCTTAGCGTAAGACCCAATATATCTTTGGTAAAATTTGAGGAAAAGAGTACTCAAAGAGTGGGTGGCAATTTGTTAGCGTGGGGAAGGGGCCAATGTGGAAGAAATCTCCTGCTGGGAACACTTCCTGCAGGTATGGCTCAGCAACAGCTCCCCTGCCCTTTCCCCACTTTTTCTTCTTTGTGGGGTGCAGGGGATGCATTCCAGGACCTTGCCCACACTAGCAAGTGCTCTACCACTGAGCTGTGCCCTCCAACCCAATTCTCCTTATCAATTAGTAACAGACGTATAAATTTCTTATGGTAGCCAGACTCTCACAAGGCTTGAAGAAGTGATAGTTCAATGCTAGAATTTCCTAGTACAGTCCCGGCTTTCCTGTTAGCACTTAAGGATCTTCAAGCAAGTATTTGAAAACATTGCTACAGGTTAGTACTGAAAAGATTTGGGCAATGGATACATGTAACTGTTTCATACCTTGTTTTTAGCCACAGTATACATTTAATAGAGTGATTAGCTACTCCCCATTCCTATTTGTAGCCACTGAACTGCAACAGACACAGTTTCCACTGATGAACTGTGATTTTTCCTTAGAATAAAGAAAAGGTACATTTTTGTTTCCTCTTTATGTTATGACTCTGAGGTAAGTCTGTCAGTATGTAACAACCAAGTCATGACTTAGGCTACCTTATTTGAGCAGTCTTCTACAGGACTGGATTTACACTAACCTGGTTCATAACCAAGTTTCAGCTCCCAGAGGACATCTGAAAAGTTTAAAGGCGTTGTTCATTGTGTTCATGAGGGGAGGAGCGCGGGGTGCTTGCTAGTCACAGGGATGTTGCTTAAATATTCCACAATGCACAGGATAAACACCACCCAAGAATTATCCAGACTAAAATGTCCATACTGAGTTTGAGAAGCCTAGCATGAGTCAAAGTTAGTTGAGATAAGCAAATACATTGTAGGAATAAATTTCATCCCCACATTTACACCAAGTACTTTCTCTTGACATACGGGTATGAGAGGAAGGGAGGCAAAAAGGGGAACAGGGTGAGGGAGATCTTTTTAAGCTTCAGACAAATAAGTGGTAGGTATATACCATCTTTGGATCATGTAATTTAAGATTCAGCTTAATGTACAGAATTTATATTAATTCTATTCATTCCACAAAGAGATTTAAATTCCCCAGAGTTCAATAAGGTTAAAAAACTTCATTTATGAATGCTAGTTGTCTAATTTACCTACAATGATAAAGTAACTCCCTGAAAAAGGATGTCCCTTCTGAAGGAAATGATAGAAAGATTATATAAATACTATCACATTTATTTACTTATGTACTGATTTCTTTCAAAAATAATTTGAAGTGGCACTATACAAAAATATTTCTATACTTAAAAGTTTGGCTTTTTAAAAATTAATCCAAGATTTCATTTAAAGCCACAACTTCTATCTAACAGGTTAAAACTTTCAGGTTTACTTCAATTACTATTTTCTGTTACAAGTTACATGGTTTTAAGGGTTACATGGATCTTTTAAGTTTGCTTTGTTTCATGAAAACCATAATCATAACATCTTAAATAAATGGCCTTTTTCTAAGTTACAGTATTTAAATCTGTGATACATAAGGGGAGAGGCCTTGTGATGACACAGGGAGAGAATGGAATGATGCAGATGCAAACCGAGTAACACCAAAGATTGCTGGCCATCTCCAGAAGCTAGGAGGTGGTAACAACGATCTTTTCCAGCCCCAGTGAGCATGGTCCAGTTGTTCAAGATACCAGCCAGCACTGTATGGTTAGAAATCACTTAGTTTCTTTTCTTTTCTTTTTTGGTCTTTTTCCTTTTTATCGGTACCAGGGATCAAACTCACAACTGCCTGCTTGAAGGCAGGCACTTATGCCACTGAGCTAAATCCCCAGCCCCAATCACTTGGTTTTTAATGCTTTGTTATGCCAATATTTATCACAAAATGCTCTCTGGTAGTTACTGGTCATTGCTGTTTGTTAGAGCTAGAAAGGGATATCAAAACACAAGAGAATTCATGATTTTTGTGGTTGGTATGTGGAAAATAATTCCAAATCTAAAGCAATGCACAGAAAACAAAGCTAAACAACTATTTTCAGAAAAAAGTGGCTGTTTTACCATATTTGATAGCAGCTTTTTTTTATTGGTTACAAAACCTAAGCCCATATACAAAATTAGGAACACGTTTAGATGCCTCTTTTGAAAGAAGGTTTTAGTCTTTTTCAAATGAGTTTAAAAAAAATAAAAACAATGCAGTTTTTAAACACTGTTTTTAAAAACTTAAAAGTGCAGCAATATACTTTAGTTTCAATTACCTATGAAATGGTGCAATCCCAATTAAAAACTGGTAAGGTCACAACAGATTGAATCAAGCAAATGCATACATACGTCTGCACTACTTGATGCTAATGTTCACTTAAATGTTAGTTTGCACTTAAAACACAAGAGGAAATAGGAATCATCACAGTTGAGGCCCAATTTTAATCTGGACGTGTGCAAAAGTTTTAAAAGGTAACTGTCAGTTATGTATGGAGAGCCTGGAAGAAATTAAACTGAAAGGGGGACAATTTACAATTTCAAGAAGATCTGGACTTGAAGGGTTTCACCGAAGTTTGTGACCTTAATTTGCTTTGTTATTCTTTTAGTGAACACCACACAGTTGCAAAAATCTAGACAGTAGTGCCTGAACAGGATGCAGTTACCATATGAAGCTTTAACACAAATTTGGATAAAGAAAAAAAGGCACAATGAACTTCAACTCAATTTTATGTGCACAAGAGTTGAAAAATCTGAGCCACCTTAAAGAGAAATTGATTCTAAAATTTATAAAACCTATAAATAATCAGAGGCCAAACCACTATATTAAAACAGATTCTCTAGCAAGTAAAAATCTTGCAGTTTAAACATACGCTTGTATCCACTTTGGATACAAGACAAAACTCACTCTTTAAAGTGGCTCCACCTTGGCAGATACATATATTTGTAAATGATGCACACCTGCTATGTGTTGTTTATCAGTGAAAACACCCCAGCTGATTTGTAAAGCTTTGATGGAATCTGTCTCATCTTCATCACAGTAAATACACCCCCATCAGATAACTAAATTAGTTTAGATTTTCTATCCCTTCACATCAATACATTGGGAAATTATACCCAGTAAACAAGAGCAACAAAACTATTTCTGCAACAGCACAAATTATTTAGTTTAAAAAATTTTAAAACCATATTTGTTCATTAATACCTGGGTCAGATATTTTGCCAAAAGCATTGACTTTCATAGTAATGCCAGATTTTGTAGAATTACTTAAAAGATTACTGCAAATTAAGCTTATAAATTACCACAGATTATTCTTCTATACAGATCCCTGTTTGAATTTTTTAATATGTGCCAATGCTTTTAGAGTAGGATCTAAAGTAACTTCCCCAATACTCAATGAAGTCTTATAACACTAATTGCTGGTTTGTTGCCAACCACATTATCAAAAGCACTGGTTACTAGTAAAAAATGTTTTAAGACTAAATTACAGTAAACATGAAAGCTCCACAGTTTAAACCCATTATAAATCAACCATATCCAATTATCAAATTAAAACAAAAAATATTAACTCCTGAAAGCTGAAAGCAAGACTTTTTTTCTTTTAACATCACCAATGAGTCTTTTAGATCTTTGCAGTTTTTGTTTGCTTTTAAATTTCTTTTTGCTTTTTAGTTTTTGTGTCTCTTTTGTAGTCAGGGACTCTTGCTTTCAACTGAAACAGAAGTTCAAGTCTGTAACAGGTTGCAGCTCAGGTAAAATACCATGCACAGCATTTGATTAATTCAAAACAGCAGGAACACACAGGCTGAAGTGAGTGGTCAAATAGGGCTTGCTGTTCTTAAAAATTAGGTATAACGGCGAAAGCATCACCATCCGTATCTAAAGTTCTTCCTCCAACCCTGGCTTCTGAGGCAGATAATAAACACATCAATTACTGGTATATGAAGTACAGGTTTTTTTGTTTTTTGTTTTTTTTAAAACTTATCTGTTTAATCAATAACCAAGTTTCTGTTTTTAAGTTACTTTGTGTCAGTTCCACCAATGAAAATCATTTGGCTTGTACTTTAAAATCTAGTCTTCCAAATAAAGAATATGAAAATATGTTTGTGGAGGATAATGATGGAGGCTCAGATCATACTGCACCTCTTTAGTCTTCCATGTGAAGATGCAACATACCAAAGTGTCTTGATCCACAGCGCACCATTTTCCAAAGGAATATCAGTGGGCAGCTGACATGCCACCACTATCCTAACCTAGAGACTGCAGTTGTCAGCATGTGGCACCAGGGAATGGAAAACAGGGTAGTTGAGACTGTTATGGAGAATTCTAAAACAGTTTAGGAAATCATGCATATGCATTTACAGTCCATGTGAGAGTGACTTTTGGCAACTGCAAAGTGACTGAGACATGGCTTGCTTAGAAGCATCAAAACGAAGAGGCATGTATGTTTTGGAGCCTTTTGTTGCTGTTGTTTTCTTATCATTTGGGAGCCATCTGGTGGTGCTTCATGTTGAACGTGAGCAAGATGCTGCACTCAATTAACCTTAAAAATTAAATTCTTTTGTTTGAAGGTTGGCTGTTGGGTCAAAATTGTAAGTACCACCTTGTGTTGCTTCAGGAATGAGGCTAGGATCTTCATCAATCTATTAAAAAAGAAAGGAAAAGCTCTTATGTGGAATTCTGTAATTATGGTATAAGCTAAATTAATTTTCTTATTCTTAGAATTCTGTATGAACAATCACTTGAAAATACTTAGGTAAATCAGTAATAATTTTATTAAGAAATTTAGTAAGTTAAAATTAAACACACATTTAAAAACATTCCTTTAAGTTCCTGTACCTACAGATTTATTTAACCTATCTAAACATACATTATTTCTATAATTACTGTTAATTCCCAGTTAACAGATTACAAACACAAGAACTGTTTTTATAATTTAAAACCATACCTTGTAATTAAGTCTTGGACAAAGTATTTTAGAAAAATGACTGATGGAGTAGCTAATAGAAATATAATATAAACTTTAAGAAATATTAATGATAAAAGAATTAGTAAATTTATGTTTTAATTTGTATGCACACACCATATTTAAAATATACTTACATCTTCACCAGAGAAATACTGATCTATGATTTCAAATGCTAATTTATATATGTCTTCATTTTCATGTTGCTGCAAAACTTCAATTTTCTCCAAACCTGATAAAAAATTAAAATAATAATCATCAAAAGTATGTCCACTTTTTAAAAAAGGTTTAAGCTCACAGTTTGTAGAGGTTTCAGTTCATAGTGGGCTGGGTAAAAACTGGGCACCTTCCAATTGTGGGAAAATCTTAGGAATTTCAGAACAGCTCCCCACTCCCCGCCTATTAAGTCAGCATTCTACTAATTTCTTTTTCCTTAAAACTTTCAAAGTATGCTGATCTCTGAAGCCAGCAGACTAAAACACACCTCAGTACTCCATTAGACAGATTTTAAAAACTGTGGCAGAGAGATAGCAAGGGATTTATTTCAGGCTACATGGCAACTTAGTAGCAGTACTACATCTGTGATCTCCCCAGACTGATTTAATATACTCAGACAAACTCATATAGTGGTTTAAAAAAAAAATCTTTCTCTTTGTTTTGTTATTATTTTATATATAACAATGAAAATAAGTTTTTAGAAAATAGTTGATATAAACAGAAGATGAAGTTTTAAATTTGAAAAACTTTCAAAGAAGTAAAATAGAATTCTTAGGTCCATAATCATAATAAACCAGAGGAATTAATTTTTCAGAGCAATAATCAGAGAATGCCTTCATCTGTATTTCCAACCTATTCACTCCAAGCAACAGCTACTTGAAGTTACAAATTGACTCTTATGGTGAAACAACTGCATGCGTTCCACCATGATGACATTTCCATGAGGTTGAAAAAATGGGGTCACCCTGTCTGGGACTTTCAGCTTCTAAAATTGTTAGCTAAATAAATCTCTTTCTTTTAAGAACTTAGACTCAGGCATTTTGTTGTAGCACTGGAAAATGAACCCAATACATATCAGTGTTTCCTAAAACATAATGCCAATCTCCAGGGAAGGTGACTATGACCACCAGTTTGTATATACTGGGAAATAACAGTCCTGGAGAATCCCTCTGGAACGCTAGTACAGCAAATAAACAACAGCATATACTTTAATCACTCAATAACACTCTGTAACCTAGTGATTTTCTAATAAACTAAATTCAAAGGAATCAGTATTTTAGAGCTGCAGCGCTCCAATTACTTGTCTTCAATCCATTCTTACCTCCACATTCTTCTATTATTTCAGCTATTGTGCTTGCTTCATCACCAGCCATTATCAGAATGTTTTTTAAACCATCTAGAACCACCTGAACCACTTGGGAATCTTTAACTGACAGTAAATTACAAAATGGTGGTATTACATTCTGTTGGACGAGATATTCAACCTAGACAAAGAAGAAATACTTTATTTCTGTGACTATCTTTTACCCACAAAGAATACAGTAACAATGAAAAACAATTAGTGGTTCCTAAACATAAGAAGCTAGCATGCTTTCCAAAAACAACAGTGACTATTGCTTTTTTTCCAGACTTACCTGATCTTTTCTGCCACTTATTGTTAAATTACTAATTGCCCAAGCAGCTTCTTTTTGTGTTCCAAAGTCCCCCTGAAGGTTAAAAGGCATAAAATACATTCTTTATTAAGAGTTTCTTAGTTATAACAGATTAGAATAAATGATGAGTATATAACATGACTGACCTTAGCGAGCTGATGAATAATCATAGGGATTAATCCAGCATCTATCACAGCCTGAACTTGTTGCTGATTGCCTGCTGTTATGTTGGAAAGGAACCATACTGCTTCCTATAATTGGACATAACACATGGCACGGTTTTATTTGATTACATTTAAAACTGATTAAGTTGTCTAAGATGGCCCATTTAAATAAATTATGCAGTAACTTCCATCCCTAATATTGTGTGCCATAAATATTTACCCATTCACACAAGCCAACTGTAAAGTACATACTATTCTAGGCTAGTGATGGTGAACCTTTTAGAGTTTGCAAGGATATAAACAGTTTGCTGTGGCATGCATGCCATAGGTTTGCCACCACTGTTGCAGGCAATGGTGATATGACAGTGAATAAAACAGACCAAAATTTCCATTCATATAGCTTACATTTCTGCCCATTAGTTGTCTCTAAAAGGCAGAAGTATAGGACTGAGTTTTGGAGTATATTATTAAAACTACTATGGTAATAAGGATAAACTGTTTTATTCCAAAAACAGCTATCCATAAAACATAATCATCAAACATTCTAATAAAATTAAGCATCTAACTAGTTTAGGATGGGCCCATATAACAAATGCTGAATTAATATAACATTAAAGGATTTACAAAGCACAAACAGGTTTTTTATTATTATTGTCAAATGTATATCTTCTTTGTCCTGCACAACTGAAAGAATGAACTGTAAATTTATTCTACTATCCAACTGTGGTAAGATGTTAACAACAGGTGAATTTGTGTTTAAAGCATGTAAGTATGTCCTTTCTTCTCTTCCCTTTTTTTGGTAAAGGGAACTGAAACCAGACCTTCACACTGAATTCTATCTCCCTATTTTTTTAATTTTGAGACAGGATCCCATTAGGTTGCTAAGCTGCTCTGGGTAGGCTTGCACTTGCAATCCTCCTGCCTTAGTTTCCTGGACTGGTGGAATTACAGGTATACACCACCACTCATGGCTACTTTTCTTGTAAATTTTGTAGGTTTGAATGTGTAAAATGCTAAGGGGAAAAAAATCAAGTTAGTAAATTCTACCTGCAGGATCTTGTAATGGTGTAAGTAACATAAATTCTTAAAGTGAAAAATTTTTCAAGCAACTATCTGCTTGTTGACCCCGAGTATTTAACTGTATGAACCTTTTTCTTCCGGTGATGCCTTCTCTGGAGGCTCGTACGTCTTTACATGTTTATCTGTCTGGCCTTTTTATTTCTCAGTTTTTTCCAATTATAGAATATAATACTCAGTCATAAAAATCATCAATATTATTAAAATTTCTTTAGTAAAAATAACTGGTCCAGAGCCTGAGTGTCTCTGGCTTCTCTGCATTCATTGGAACAGATTTATTCATAAAAATCAATTTTTGATAATACACTTCTCTGTAAGAATCCAAATCAAATTATACTCAAGCCATTATATAAACATTACAACACAGAAAAAAATGATCAATTCTGATAGGTTTGAGGAAGGAGCATTTTAAGGTAGATAAAACTGCATTAGAAGTATAAATTAAAAACATAATGAGATGCTACGTCACACCTACTAGAATGTCTATAATTTTTTTTAAAAATAGAAAACAAATGCTGGTAAAATATGGAGAAAATGGAAATCTAATATACTGCTGATAGAAATCTAAAATGGTACAACCATCTTGGAAACTATTTTGGTGGTTCCTCAAAAAGCTACCACAGGATTACCATGCCTCAGAAATTTCTAGCTATCTATTCAAAGAAATGAAAGCCAAGATTCATACAGCTATTTATCTGGCTTTATACATAATAATAACCAAAGACTAAAAATAATCCAAGTGTCAATCATTGAGTGGATAAACAAAATGTGAAACACACATCCGACACAATATTCGGCCATAAGGAATGAACTTCTGATGAATATTACTAAATAGACAAACCTTGAAAGCTTGTTATGTGAAATATACCAGCTTTAAAAAGATTTAAGTACTTAATTACAGACTACACAACTATTAATAAATTTGTTTTAAGCCTGAAACCTTACAAAGAGGAACTTTTTATAATTCTGGAACTTTGGTACTTCATCTTAGAGTCTACTCTATTTCTGTGCCATATTAAATGATTTGTCTGACTAAAGAGATACTAGCTACTTGAGTGGAAAGCTTGAATGTCCTTCACTAGTGGCTACTAACTTAATAAGTGTTGATACTGTTCAATTCATAAAAATGTATTTCATCTAAAAATGTATTTTAAAATCCTATGATGAGACTAGCATTACAGGAAGCAAAAAAAAGTTAAAACAAAAAACTATAGATTACCTTAAGACAATTCTCATCTTAATTGCAATGTTTTTGAAGAAAAAAATGTTTGAATATTATATACCAATAAAATAAAAAAAATCAGATATTCAAGAGAAAGAAATGTAATGGGTAGGATATTACACATTCCTTACCTTATTGATCTTCTCTTTCGGGTGTGATAAAAGGTTTGGGAAGTGTGACAGGACATCACAATTGAGAACAACCTGGGTCTGCTCATCAGTGCCAGTCACTATGTTGCCAACTGCTCTGAGTGCTGCAGTCTGGGTTAGGGATTAAAAACAGTATTTTAGAAGTTACTCGATTGTCACAAAATTGATTCTCTGTTTTTCATAATCCTGAGAAAATGTAAAAAATGTAAGGAGCAAGTGATTAATATTTATTTCATCCTTATGCAAAGCAATAACCATAATGAATGATTCTGAAACAAGTAATAGTCTATAAAAAAATGAAAATTGGTGGAAAATCTGCCCAGAAAACTGTTTTAAAAAAAGATTTTTTTAAAAAAGAAAAGTGAAATGAAAAAAATCTAAGGTCCCAGTTTAAAAACAACTATTCATCCCCATTACCAATGAGCACATATTCCCATCTAAAAAGTAACTTTCCCAGAAGTGGGGTTAACAGACCTAACAGTCACCTACCCCTAATCATAGTTGGACAGAGACAGGATGTATAGTTAGGAAGCTGTTACAAATTACTGGGAAACAGAAAAATCTTAAACTAAATCAGTGGCTCTAGACAGACAAGAACAGATCTGAAAGCTAAATGAAAAGAACTGAAAACACTTGGTAAAAAGAATGTAAAATGAAAGGAATCAAAGAATCTAATCTAGAACAGGCTGTCCATTGAAAGGTGATACTGCAAGCAAGTTTTATGGAAGATGATGATCATTTTATTTCTATCTAGTTGAAGTGACAGCAGAATACTTGAAGGAGTTCTTAGAAGGTATGTTTAAGGAGTCAAAAACAATCAGTTATATGGTTCTGAAACTGATTAGTAAATAATCTAGGCATGAGAAACATTTGGAAATCCACAAAATCACACTCAGGAGACTGACCAGAGCAAGCCTGAGGATCAGTGCTAATTGACTTAATTGAAGCCTGGCTATACTGTATAAAAACACCAGTTATAGCAAACAATCTATGTAGGTAAGAAACAATTAAAAGCTACTTACTTGAACTTTCACTTCCTGGTGGCTCAGAAGGGGTACTAGAAATGGCACAACCCCTGAATCAATAACCATCTGTATCTGCTCATTCCCTCCATCTGTCAAGTATGACAGAGCCCAAACAGTGTCTACAAGAATCTACAGAAAGTGAAAAAAGAGTAACTCACTGGTGTACTTATTTAAATGCTTCAAATACATATGTCAGGAGTGATAACACAAAAAGGAACTATATTTTATGTGTTAACTTAGCACTAAAGATATCGATTTACATGCTGACCCCAGTAAGTGGCAGTTATCTTACCTTTCTCACTTATCAGACTAGCAAAAATTTTAGATGTAACACTCTTAGGAAAGAGTTATGTATGTAGAATGTCACTTTTGTATGCTGCTTGTTACTAGGAAGGTGAAGTGGCACGACTCCTAAATCAGGGAATTTGGTAGTATAGCATTCACTCTCTAACAATCCTGCTTTTACGAATTTACCATGAAAATAACACAGCAATGCACAAGCATGTATATACAAAACGAGAATCCTGCAATGTGGAACTCCACTTTGCCCTGTGATATTTTAGACTACTAAATGAAAACTTTTTTTTCATTAAATAGCCCCTTTTATTGACACAGAGTCTCTTCTTAAATAATATACAGAGTTTCAATAATGATATATTCAAAGCTTCTAGACTGAGGTCATTAATGATGCTGGTGGGCTCTCCATGACAGTGTCTCAGATTGGTTGAAGATGTTAAGGTACAGCAGGTCTTGGACCTCTACAATAGCAAGTGCATACTCCTGCCTCTTTAATTCTGTTTCTAATATATTGGGTCTTTATGAAAAATGTTCCTAAAGATCTTTTTTAAAATTTAAATTCACAGCACAAGACTACTGGGGCCATCCTAGTTTCTTCTGTTTTAACAATCTTCTTGAAAACTTATACCATTTGAGCCACAGGAAAATCTCTTGCAGTAAGGACTGCTCAGCTAAAGGACTTGCCTGAACTACAAAGCAATAGCCTGCCTCAAAACAACAAAGACAGGACTCGCCCTTGACCAACTCCTGTGAGGCAGGCTGAGCCTGACACTTGCTTTGTGGACCAGACACTATGGGTTGCACGAGATAATTTACGCCAACAATTCAGTTTATATAGAAAACACTTCTTTTTGACTCCTGCTCTGTGGGCCATACTGTACTTGTCTAACTCTCCTGCGTAACTAAGGTCAGTCACGTGGATTGTCCATGCCATGTGGTTGATGCTCAACAAAAGCCCAGGATGCAAGCCTCAGGAGCTGCTCTGGCTGGCAGTGCTTCTTACTGCTGTTGCGCATCACTGCTGAGAGAATCCAGTGCTGTCTGTACGACTTCACTGGAAGAGAATAACTGGAAGCTTGTATCTGGTTTTTCCTGAAACCCACTCATTCTGCCTTTTGTCTTTGTTGACTTTAGTTTGTAGCTTTTTGCTGGGATAAACTGTAAGTATAACAGCTTTCCTGATTTTTGTGAGTCCTTCCAATGAATCATCACACCTACAGGTGGACTTGGGGATTCATAACAGACTTATCACCAATAATCAAGTCTTATCAAACATGTAATCTGCCACAGTTGGTTAATTTCATTTGTAACAGCAGCAAAATAAACTTAATTTATATCAGATTTTGGATGACACAGAAAATTGTGTCATCACAGGCAATGAATGAATAACATCAAAAGGGCAAGAGTACCAGATGCTCCATCCTTATCAAATCTAGCAAATTTACCATTTAAGCATTTTTCAAGTCTCTCTTGGCCTTCCTATTGCTAATTCCTCAGCTCTATCACTGGTCTTTTCTTGTCCCTACCACAAAATTACTACTTATTCGCCTTACCAACTCTAATCTCTCCTAAAACCTGTTTTATCCTTAACTAGTGTAACTTGCCAAAATACAAATGTGAGCATTTATTTTTTAGTGCTATATGACTTAGAAAAAAGACATATAATGCAAAGTAGTACCCAAGAAACTGTATGATCTAGAACCTGATAAATTTCTGCCTTACATCTTCCCCCTATGTTTCATAGTCTATGTTTCCATCAGTCTACGTTTATAAACTCCTTTGCTCATTCTTCCTGGCTCCCTCTGTTCAACTGAAAGCAATTCCTTAGAGTTCTATTTTCAGTCCTTTCTGAAGTACAGAATTATCTTTCTCAATGTTGTATTTTAATCAATCCCTTAGATTCTGATAAACTCTACATCTGTACTGTCTTTTGCTTCCTGGTAATATTGTCACAGAGGAGTAACAAGTTCCATGTTATATTATATCTCAAAATACTCTTGTTTTTTTTCCTTTTTTGGTCTTTCTGAGACAGGGTTTCACTATACATTTCAGGTTGGCCTTGAACTCCCAGCAATCCTCCAGGTCAGTATCCCAAATGTTGGGATGACAGGCGTGTGCCACCACACCCAGGCTAACACTCCTCTTTGTGGGGACGGGGTGTGGGTTGGAACTAGGAATCCAACTCAGGACCTTGCGCTTGCCCGGCAGGCATTATGTTGCTGAGCTCTATCTAGCTCTTAACACTCCTCTCTTAACTACTCTGCTACAAATAACTACACCTGTGTGCTGTTCTACAAAAACTATTCTATGATCCTACATTCATAAGACAAAATCACTGTTCATTAAGTTTATTGGTACATTTTAGGTATACATAATAACTGCATTCATCACAGGGAATTTGTGGCTGTACATGATACAGCTTGACTCTTCTTTTCCCTTACTCCCCTACCCTTCCTTTAACCCCACTTTCCCCCATAAAACCAAAATTCTTCAACACAGGATTCGAAGTTCTGTAAACTAATTCTGTATCAAATGTACTGAGTTATTATCTACATGTCATATTCTCTATAATCTCTGTGGTCCTTACCATCTTTCATTGAGTTCCTGAAATCATTTTCTCAACTTAAAATTCTACTTGTGCCAGCTGCATGACTTTAGACAAGTCATTTGACTCCCTCAGTACTTAAATACATGTTAATAAGAATGGTAACAGAGAAATGACAGCACCAATTCCATAGGATTTTTGTTAAGAATTAGGAGTTAACACATGCAAAGTGCTTAAAGCACAGCCGGCACAGTTTAAACTCAATAAACACTATGTATATTATCTTAGACATCTCTGTCAACAGCTCCTTAAATGCTCATCTCAAATGTGACTTCCTCAGTGAAATTTTCTGGTTTACTAGGAAAAATCATCTCTGCTTTCATACTCTAGAATTTTGGTCATTCCTCTGCTATGCTTTACATCATGTGGCATGCTCATGTAACCATGGTCTGAAAGAGCACAGGCCTTGTTTCAGTTCACAGCTATGGATCTTATTTACGGTATACTTACTGCTTTATAAACTGGTACCACTTTATAAATATTAGCTTTTTAAAAACACTCTAATCTGGGAGTGGGGCCAGGGACTTAGCTCAGCAGCAGAGCACCTGCCTGGCAAATGTGAGGTCCTGAGTTCGATTCCTGGTGGAAGGAAGGAAGGAAAGAAACTGGGCATGGTGGCACAAACCTGTAATCCTAGCACCCAGGAGGCTGAGGCAGGAGGATCACAATACATCTGAGGCCAGTCCAGGCCACACAGTGAGTTCAAGACGAGAGTGCACTACATGGCAAGACCCTACCTCAAAAAACAAAACACTGTAGCTGGTTCCCCTCTGTCTGTGAGGGATACATTCTGAGACTCTGAGAAGATGACTGCAACTGAGGACAGTACTAAACCTGCATATACTGTGTTTTATTTTTCCCTATACGTATTTACCTGCATAGTTTAACTCACATTTAGGTACAAGAAGAGATCAATTAACTAATGATGAAACAGAACAGTAACAATAAAAAAATAAAAATTATTTTCTGACCACAGGTAAATTAAACTGTACAAAGTAAAAATGTGGGTAAGAGGGAACTACGCCCTACACAAATTTAACTACATATGTGATAGTATCTCTAAAGTTAGCATTTTTGCTGATTTAAGTTATTATCTTATTTAACCTTAACTCCATTTCCAAAAACTATTCATATGCTGTGGAAGCTTGACAAGTTGATAAAATAACAGTCTGACAACTTAAAAGCCATTCGGTTCAATAAAGAGCAAATTACACACGTCAACTTCCACTATACTTACATTTATGTCTGTATGGTATATGAGGATACATAAAGCTGGCAAAATCTGAGGAAAGAAGATAAGCAATGAATGACACACGAGTTGACTGACATTATCTTTGTAAAAAATACTGACACAAAGTGATAAATATGTTTGTAGGACAAGGAAAACAATGTTAAATCTGTTTCAATGTCTACTAGGAAAATGAAAATACGATAAATTCAATCTGAAAAACTCCAAGCATATTTTCAAATGTCCAATTAAAACATCCAAATAAATCTGACAGAGATTAATGTACCTTAAAGAAAAAAAAGTTATTTAAAAAAAAAAAAAGAAAAAAAGTTAACTATAAGACATAAAACATTAAGTGAAAAAGAATGGCAATTTAAATATATAACTGTAACTCTATAAGAAAAGTTGCTCTTAAAACTGTTATCACTGTCTCACTTACCTCATTAAAGTAAAAAAAACTTTATTTAATAAACTACTCGGGCAAATACTAAAGTTTTGAACTCAGCTTTACTTAAGAAAATTACAAAATACAATGGTTGGTTTGCTGAATTCAGGCCTTACAAAACTCTTTTTTAAAATGTGGAAGAGATTTAAAATCACTCTGAGGGTATCATGCTAAGTACCCTCGTATAACAAAAGGTAGTAGATGCTGGCTAAAGATGTGGATTACTATCAATAACTCTCTACACAGTCAAGTGAATAAAGGCTTTTAAAGACTGAAACCCCGTGCCATGTTGGGGATTGAACGCAAGGCATCTCACATGCCGGGCAAGAAGTATCACTGAGCTGTATTCCCAAACCTCGTAATAGTTTTATAAACTCAAAATACTCAGCTCCGTTTACATATTAGCTGTAAATCGAAAAACTTCACTTTATTAGTAGATTTAACATGAAGTATATTACACTTTTAAGAACACTAATTTTGTCAGAAATTAACTGGACTTAATGCAGTTAAGAATAATGCAAATATTCTTAACGCAAGAATATTTGTATTTACATATACTATTTGTAGCAACCTCACCCTTTAGTACTACACCAACAATGAAATGAGGTAAAAAAACTTTTGAAATTTTTTCCATCTTCTTATATTTATTTATTTTTTCTTTTTTATAATCAGGCTGTAGTTCTCACTCTGTAGTTCAGGCTGGCCTTCACTATGTGGCTCAGGCCAGCCTTAAACCTGCAGCATCCCTCTTCCCTCAGCCTCCTGAGTGCAGGATTACAAGCATACACCACCACACCTGGCCTGTATTTCTTTTCCTGTGTTGTATTTCCTATTTTAATTTCTAATTAAGTTTTCTTCTTGTAATAGTCAGTTAAAAAAATAAACATTAAGATGAACGTAATTTGTTCACAAATTACCAAGACACTCAACTTTTATTTCACAGGCATGTATACACAGTACATTATTTAAAGAGTCATACCTGCAATGAAATCAGCATACGCATTATTTCACTCCCTGTGAATGAACACCTAAAGCACAAACATAGGGAAATGTAGCACCCGGCCGTGCGATTCTCCATTTACCTCCTGAACTGTCTCCATAGGCGGCGGGGGGTCCTTATTCCTGCAGAGATTTACAATGACCCATGTGACGTTCCGAAGGAAGGTGATGGGGATGGAGGGGTTGATGAAGGACAGAAGAGGTTTGACAACTCCCAGTGATATGACATAATCTCTACACTGAGGACCATCACCTACAGAAATGAAAATTTTATTTAAAAAAAAAATTACATTCAGGATGAGAAAGTCTGAAATGTATGCAATGGCTCATGTTGGGACACTGATGCTCTATGTTTCCTCAACACTACTCAAAGACATCCAGTGCTGTTTCTCCGGCTTTTAATTTGAGGAACACAGATTTAACCTGTCACTCCTGATACAAATGCTACATCCTTTCACACTCATGAGATACCACTGTAAGTTAGTATTTATGAGAATACACTCAACCTGCATTAAATTCAGAGGAAACATAGTATGCAATGGCTATGCCAATGTAGAAAAAAGTATTAATTAAGATTCTTAATTGGTCTTTCTAAATCTAACAGCAACTTACCTATAATGTTTCCCAAAGCCCATACTGCTTGTTCACAAACATTTTGATGTGGTGAATGGAGAAGTCTCAAAAAAAGAGGTACTGCATCTGTAATAAAGAAAACATAATATTTATACAAGCAAAATGCTAGAGTTCATAGCTTTCAACCTACATAAGTTGATTACAGAGTCTGGTACACTGCTGCTGCCTCCATCATAGTTCACTAGATAAATAAATATCGCAAGAGTATCTTTACCTTAAAAATTATTATAAGTATTTGCCCCTAATAGTATGAGAATCCGAAAGATTATTATATCATTACTTACAAAAATAAAAAAAAGCAAAAAGGCAGCAAGAAATCTGTCTTATAATTCACACACACACACACACACACACACACACACACACACACACACACACACAGAGTTTCCACTCCCAATCTGTAACCTTACAAGTGTAATTGTTTGGGCTGGGAAAATAGCTTAGCACACAGTACTTGCTTAGCATGTGTGAGGCTGTTGGGTCAATCTTGTAAAAAAAATATCTCATGTCAAGCCTATTTTATATCTTTAAAAATATATGTATTTGTATATATAAAATATATAAAAACATATAAGTTTTTTGGGTGGTACTGGGGATTGAATCCAGAGCATCTGCATTGAACTCAGCCCTTTTAAAACTCTATTTTGAAAGTCTTGCTAAACTGCCCGTGCTGACCTGAACTTGCAATCCTCTTGCCTCAGCTTCCTAAACTCTGGAATTAATAGTGTATAATCCTTATTCTTTATATGACTTTATACTCATTTCCAAGATAAGCTAAATTCCTTCTTAAATTTCAAATCTGAGTTATCCTTAGGGTATTGCTGGTATAACTGTGTACTATTTATATTATTTACTTGACATTATTAAAATCCATACTTTAAACAAACAGAGCTCATCTGTTCAAGTGTACGACACAGTAGTTCTTAGGGTTTATACAGTCCCGGCAATCACTGCCACAATCCAATTTTACATTGCTAACATCCCTCTAAAACTTCAAACCCACAGCAATCACTCATTTGCTCTTCTGCTACCTACTCTCCCAGCTCTCAGCAACCATTAATGATTTCTGTCTTTTTGGTTTTACCTATTTTACATATTTCAGACAAATGAAATCATACCACATTACGGGAAAAACATGTAGTATCCCCTAAACTCATGTATTGAGGGCTTGATCTCCAATGAAGCAATGTTCAAAAGTGGGGCAAAGAGAGACAATTAGGTCATGAATGCACCAACCTCATGAATGGATGAACCCACCAATGAGTTCCTAGTTCATGTGGTATTAGAAGGTGGGCACCCATTGGAGCAATTAGGTCAGCAGGGGCATGCCTTTGAAGAGTGTCTCTCTTCTCTGGCTCTTTCTCGTCTGTGTTTCCTGGATGCTCTGAGGTGAGCAACTTTCTTCTACCACATCCTCCAGTCATGAGGTTGCTGCTTTGTAGCCAGTTAACCACAGACTGAAACTTTTGAAACTGCAAGTCAAAATAAATCTTCACTCTCTGAAGTTGTGCATATCAGGTATTTGTCCCAGCAATGGAAACAGACCAATACACACTGAATGTAGTTTTTCTGTTAGGTTTCTTTCATTTAGTATACTGTTTTTCATCAATGGTATACAATGATGTAGTAGGCATTGGTGCTTCGTTTTTGACCTCTGAATAGTATTCCATTGAACATACATTTTGTTTATCCATTCATGAGTTAATGGATCTTTGGGGTTATTCATAAATAGTGCTGCTGTGAACAGGTATATGTAATTCTTTGTGTGGACATACTTCATCTCTCTTGGTTTCTCCTAGGAAAAGTGCTAGGTCACCTGGTGACTATGTTTAACCTAAAAATTGTTTTCCAAAGTAGCAATACCACTTTACATTCCCACCAGCAACATGTGGAAGTTTCAACTGAACCATTTTTAATTTAACTAATTTCATATCATTTCTGTAAAACAGAAGACCAGCATCTTTTATCAGAAACAGAAAACAGTAAAGAAATAATAAAAACAAAGGATTTAACTAAATTTTACCTAATTTCTATTAAAGCTGTATTCTAAAATCTGTTCCCATTCTGTTACAACTAAAATCAAACTAGAATTTTATTACAGGGCTATGTCAGTTCCTGTTACCACATCAAATAATTGTAAGTCCTTATTAAGGTAAACGTAATTTAAACTGTCCAATGATAGATTAATGATAGTTATGGAAAAGATATCAATCATCATAGTAACATAAAATTTACCAGTTTAAAAGTTTTATAAGATAAAATTCAATGTGTAACAAAGCACTTCCTTGCCATCATTTTTTAACAATTCACAAAGTAAGGAATTTAACTGGCTTACTAGACTGTACAACAGCTTGAGTCTGTGCAGAAGTTCCTGATGCTATATTGGTTAGTGCCCAAGCAGCTTCAAACTGTAATGAAGGACTGTAAAAAACAAAAATAATAATAATAAATTATATTAAAATTTTTTATTGGTAGTGCTGAGACAGGGTCTTGCTTTGCAGTTTAGCATGACCTTAAAGTCACTATGTAGCCCAGATTGGCATTGAAAATACAGCTATCTTCTTGCCTCAGCCCCCAAAGCGCTGGGATTACAGGCTTGTGAATCATGCCCAGCTAAATTCTTACTTAGATATATTAACTACCTCCAAATTTTATAAACCTCACATCTATATGACCACTTTTTACTGTCTTGAATTTTACCTCATTATAGCCAACTGCTTGCTACATTTCTCTCCTTGCACATTTCACTGCCTTCTAAAGTATATCACCATAAACCTCTTTATGTCCACTGGTAGCTGAAACATTTAGCCAGTCTACATCCCTTGTCTCTCCCAGACAAAACACCCAATCAGAATCATGACAATTTAACCTCCTGAATATTTCTTACACTTTCAGAATCATCCTTAATACCGTTGTACTAGCTGAGGCCTGTGTCATCACTTGAATGAAACACCAGGCTGATCTCAAATGGATGCCATCAGACTCCACTACACCATCCATCTATATTACATACTAAGGTTATTGTAAAGCTGCATAATAAGTTTTCAAACATGGATTTTAAAAGGCAGGGATGTAGCAGCACAGGCCTGTAACATTTTGGGAGACTGAGGCAGAATGATCACAAGTTCCAGACTTGTCTGAGTAACTTAGTGACTAAGCAAAATCCTGCCTCAAAATAAAAAGGGCTGGACTCAATCTGTGTGTGTATACTCACACTAGGCCCTGGGTTCAATCTGTGTGTGTATAGGTGGGGAGAGAGAGCATGACAGCCTTAAGTATTTTTTTTTTAAAAAGTATCACAAGTAGAATGATTTTAATGTACACTGTTAAGAAGGAATAGATCAATAGATCTACAGTTGGGAAGACTTACAAAAATATAGGCTCTGTGTGTCTGTGTGCGTGTTCTGGGACTGAGAGTAGGCAATAGGAATGTGCCTCAAATCTTAGGCTCTGTAAGTCATAATTTATTAAGGACAAATTTCTAAGCAAAGGGGAAATAATGAGAATGATCAGAATGAAGTTTTAAAAAGTTAAAACTTGACATAGGAGAGACCTAAAGGAAATTATAGTTATATATGTTGTTAAGAAAAACAGATGAAAGAATACAAATACCAAATAAGGCAGGCACATGGCTAGCAAAAGGGGCAAATGGACAATCAAAGCAAAGAGGATAGAATGAATGGTATATGCTGCTACAGATTGGAGAGAGTTATTAAGTTGGTTAAATATTCTATCAAAATACTGGAAACAGGGGCCACAAACAAGAAAATGGAAAAATATGAAAAATAAAATTAAAAAGCTAGGGAAAGTCCTTTCAGATGTCATGTCAAGACAATATAAAAAATATAAATGAACATTTATTGTGAACTTTAAATTGTACAGATTTTTCCCATTACTCACAACCACCCAATTTTACAGGTAAGGTATCTGCAGCTCAAAAACCACACGTTTTGGTCAACAGCAACACTTGGATTTTTGTTGTAGTTGTTTTGTTTCTTTGAGACAAGCTCTTGCTATGTAGTTAAGACTGGTTGTGAACTATATAACCCAAACTGGCCTTGAACTCATAATGATCCTTTTGCCTCAGCCTCCCAAGTACAGAGATTATAGGCATGTGCCACCACCTAATGTGACCCCTGGATTTAAACCAGGATCTAACATCTGTGGTCTTTTACACTTTAATACAACTTTCCATGAGAAATTCGTAACATTCTATTTAACGACTGGCAATTTTCTATTCTTTCTTTGGGTAGCAGTTATACTAGTCTGTGTTTTATAATTATTCATTAAGCTATACATATTTTATGTCATACATAAATGAGTCTATGTAAAAGCCTAAAAACAAATGAAAAAATTTTTACGAGGGAGAAAAAAAGGAAAGGGGACCAACAATAGGGATCTAAAGGTAGAGATAGAATTTATTTTTAAATAGCTGAAATAAAACTTAACTTTTACTGAAAAACACCTTGTTATGAAAAACTCAGTGGTATTGAAAAGCATTAAGGGTGTATGGGCAGGCAATGGGAGGGATGTGACTACAATGGAAACAAAGTATTTTCAAATACTAACAACTCCAGTGGTAGAAGTTATACAGTACAGTTTTTATGTAGTCTAGTAAAAATTCCTTGGATGACATTTAGCAAAACATACAAATTTCAGTGAAATGCTCTAAAATGAAAAACCAGCATTTATCTTAAAGCATTTTTGAGTTCAAGTTTACACAGTAGTACATCAGTTCACAAATTTAATTCTTTCCCTGATTCTGGTCACAAACCAAACTGGAAAAACCGAATCAAATTCAGCGTTTTGGTTGACCACCTTATGGGGAAATTTGATTTGGTTCTTGTCCAGTTTGGTTTGTGACCAGAATCGCAGCAAGAACTTTTGTTAACCAAGGTACCACTGTGGTTTCCTCAGTTAATTCAAATTGATGAAGTTTGAGACATATCCCTGAGATGTCTCTAAAAACAAATGGAAATGAAGCAGTACTGTAAAAGATACCAAGTGGCAATCTCCCCTTCTCATAAATGCAGTCTGCCTGCTTACTCTTAATGTATCTCAAACAAAAAGAAGATGTTAGACAACTAGTCATGGTCAGATTCTAGTAAAGACTTCACAGAGTACCAATGATCAGCTGGAATAGCCCCAGGGTATGAAAGAATCACTTACTTGTGGAACCCACTTATACTGATTAGCCATGAGGTTAATCTATATTGGGACTCACAAGTGAAGGATGACTCAAATACTATATGGGTTGTTTCAAAATATTACTTTAAAAAAATCCTTAATAAATAGAGACTTAGTATTTGAGATAAACTAAATATTTCCTGTAAAATATACAGACTTCAGAAATTAAAGAGTAGCACTTTAAGTCTATTGAATATGATCATAAAGTCAGAAAATTACACAAAAGGGGCTGGGAATTTAGCTCAGCAGAATAAGCACCTGTTTGGCAAGCTCGAGGTCATGAGCTCAATCCCCAATACCAAGAAAAAAAGAAAATTACACAAAAGTACATGACAATTATAAAAGTAAACTAAAAATCAAATTGAATTCTTGGTTAAAAAAAACCATAAATTTTAACTGAAAAAAAAAAAGTGAATAGGGAATTAAATCCATACTTACTTATCATCCCTTTCTAAACATTTGACTAGAATAGGTAAAATCCCAGATTTTATTAGATCATCAATTGGTGGGTTTCTGTCGCTGGATAGCAGTTTTCTGTAAAATGAAGAAATAAGAAATTAACTGTTACATATTTTCAAACTGTAAGTAGAAATAATAATGTACTCCTAGACCATGGTGTCAAACCTAGATGGGCATGCATGCCGCAGTGGGACTGCAGAGAGCCCTTTCTGTTGTCATGTGAGCCATGAGCCAACTTGCTCCAATAGTTGAGCATCGGATAACAGTTGTTTTCTTCTAAACTAAAAACTTCAATATTCAGATATAACTGCAGTGTTAGCATTTTGTGTAATAAATTTGTGTAATAAATAAGTGGGTCTGCAGTTGCAGTCTCTAAGGTTCGCCATAACAGTCCTGTACTATCAGCTAAGACACTTAAAATATAACATAATGATGGGCCTGGTGTGGTGGTGCAAACCTGTAATACCAGCACTTTCGAGGCTGAGGAAGAAGAATCCCTGCAAGTTCCAGGTCAAAGTCAGCCTAAACTACATAGCAAGACCTTATCTTGAAAAACAAAAACAAAATAAAACAAAAAAAAGCAAATAAACAAAACGTAATTCTTCTTCTGGACAAACTAGTATTTACCTTGCTGCCTGGACAGCACTCAACTGGACCACTGGATTATCACTTGTGGCATTCTGCAACACCAAATATAAATTTCAGAAATTAAAACAAAAACAAAAACCTTTCAAAATGTTTCAAATTGAGATGAATTAATAACATACCTGCAATATAGCTTCTAGTGTTACATTTTGCTTTAAAAAAAAGAAGATAGTTTAGTACAGTTTATTAGCAAAACCATTCATTAATTCTGTATGTTAAAGTTGACATGTCTTAATTATCATTATACAATATACAATATACAAATATCATTATACAATATACAACTTATATTAAAAATGAAGCTTTCATGGTTACTATCAAAATTATTTTAAAAATACTTTATAAAAATAAAGTCACTTACTGCTTTAAAATCTGCATCAACATCAGAATCTTCTAAACTTTCTTCTTGTGGAACATTTCTCTTTTTCAGTAAGTGTTCATCTCTTTTGTTCTGAAAGGCAACCAATAAGTGCTTAAAAATCTGTAGAGGCTGTTGTTAGTGAGGAATCTATTAAAATTATTTCATTCTTATTCAGCAATGGTCAAACAAACACTGAATAGAGAAACATAGTATTAGTTAAATGTATATACACTGCAAACCAACCTAGTGGTCAAATTCTGGCTTTGGTAAATGGTTAACAGTGTAGCTTTTTCACACATAAACACTTCACTAAGCATCAACGTTTTCAAATCTTTAGGTAGAGCTTAAAATTTAGAGATGCAGCATTATTATTAGCATATAGCAAATACATTTCAACTAGTATGCTATCTTAATCTACTTATGGCTAATAGTTGTCTGAAGCAATTTATTAAGAAGCCAAATTAACTGGAAAAGTTCAAGGGTTATATATTACACATATTACATTGTGTACAGGTGTACTTGCTGGGGGTATGGGAATTCATTACATAAATGTCACTTGGTTGCCATCGTCTCAGACTTAACACATTCACCACATTCACCCAGTAATGCAATTGGTTTACTTTATGGTTGGGAGGTTTGTCTTTTTTTTTTCCTTTTTATCGGTACTGGGGATCGAACTCAGGACTGCCTGCTTGCAAGGTAGGCACTTATGCCGCTGAGCTAAATCCCCAGCCCCATGGTTCTTTTTGTCTTTTTTTTTTTTTTTTTTTGGGTGGTTGGGAGGCTTGAACCACAGATGGTACATGAACAACTGTTTTACTGGGTAGTTTGTGCCACTGCTGGTACAAATGGATCTAACTACTTTTTTTTTTTTGTACTGGGGATTGAACTCATGACCTTGCGTTTGCCAGGAAGTCCCTGGCTCCAAATCTAATCACTCTTGTTGATCTTTTTACTGAACACTTAATAAAAAGCCACTTGATGGTACAATCATGCATTTACCACTAGTGGCTCAAGTGGAGGGAAGGTATAACTTGTTTTCTGGCTTTTTTTTTTTTTTTTTCTTTTTCATTTTTATCGGTACTAGGGATCGAACTCACGACCGCCTGCTTGCAAGGCAGGTGCTTATGCCGCTGTGCTAAATCCCCAGCCCCTTGTTTTCTGGCTTTTATAAATAAGAATTCTCTGCTAGTAAATCAATTTTAACAATTTTTTTTGTACCGGGAATTGAACTCAGGACCTTGCACTTGCCAGGCAGGCACTTAAGCAGCACTTAAGTTTAACATTTTATAGGATTCTAATTATTTGCAATAGCAACTTGTGCTGTTTCTTGTATTATATAATTCTAGACAAGTCATAAATTTTCTCTAAGTTTTTAGTTTTGGTTGCTATAAAATAGAAATTACATCAAAAGATTAAATGATTTGATAGCCTTTTAAAATTAAAATTTCAAAATACATAATTCTAATATTTTACAAACATATACGATTATGGGCAGGGTAATGGGAACTGAATCCAGGGAGCACTGAGCTGCATATTGAACCCTTTAAAAATTTTTTTAAACAGGGTCTTACTAGCTAGTTGTTCAGGCAGGCTTTAAATTTGAAATCCCCTGCTTCAACCTTTCAAGTAGCTGAAATTATAAATGCCCATCATCACATAGCTTTTGTTCAAAGTCACATTTGTTAAAGTATTTGAATATAACAAGTGTTTGAATATAACACTATTAAAGAGGAATTAATATTCCTGACAAAATTCAGGTCAAACAGAAAATTTAAACTAGAAATATATATCTAAGTCTCACTGGCTTGTATGTACAATACCAATTTTGGTGCTATGTATAACCATGAATATTTAAACAAATGCCTGTATATGATTTTCATTAGTTTACTAACTTCTACTTGTATCACAGAATACTTCTTTAGTACCTACTCAAATAGCCAATTCTAAATTATTTTTAAATTAGAAGCATTTCACAAATATTCAAATTCATGCATTGATATTTTACATAGTAGCTTCCCACATAATACTTTTTAAAGTATCAAAAACCTGGCAGATGGCATTCTTTTTTTTTAAATATAAAACTTTATTTTTGTTTTTTTCAAATCCATTTTATTCCAGCAAGGAAGGAAGGAAGGAAGGAAGGAAGGAAGGAAGGAAGGAAGGAAGGAAGAAAAAGAGAGGAAGGGAGGGAGTGGAGGGAGAAGCAACTACAACAATTTTTCAGCCTTTTAGCTTCTTTTTTGCCCCTGGTACCAAGAATCGAACTCAGGACTTTGCACCTGCCAGACAGGTGCTGCATTACTGAGCTATTTCCCCTTTTAGTTCAATCAGGGGGAAACAACGGTACACAGATTGCGCACTGTCAGCCCCAAATCTTTCACCCAGAGCAAAACACAGCAGATGGCATTCTTGACCAAGTGATAAAACATCACCAGCAGTTAAGACAAATCAGCATTGTATGCTACCTGGTGTTCTGCACTTAGAAAACTAACATCACTTTGGTGATATTCCTGACCTAAATAAACAAACTGGGAAATTTCAGACAAACTCAAACTTGCCACTCTACAAAAAAAAGCAAGCCTGTACTCTTCAAAAATGTAGTTGTGAACGAAAGAGGAACCATTCCAGTTTGAAGGAAACTGAATAAACATGACATGCAATGCAGTGTCTGAGCTTGGGCTTGATGTTTGATTTACAAAAGATACAGTTGGGAATGATATGTAAAACCAGAGTTGTATCAATTACAGATGAGATAATAGAACATTACCTATATTAATTTGATAGGTGCACCATGGTTATGTGGGAAAGCATGTCTGTGTTCTCTTTTTGCAAAATATGAACTCATGTATTAAGGGTACTGGGACACCATACTTGCAAATTAACCAATTCAAGGTGTACACACATACACATGCACTCACAAAAATCAAAGAAAAAATAAGGCAGATATGGAAAAAATCAGTTATTTAAGTCAGTTTCATTAGATGCATAACCACAATTTAATAAAACGAAACACTTATTCATGGCTGAAAAGATAAATAATCTTAGACTACTAAGTTTGAGGCCACTGTGAATAATGCTGCAATAAACATGGAAGTGCAGATAATCTCTGAATACTGATTTAATTTCCTTTTTTGTTTCTCAGTTATGAGCTTTTTTGATCATAACTATATTTTAAATTTTCTAAGGAACCTCCACACCTTTTTCCATAATAGCCATGCTAATTTACATTCTTAGCAATCATATATAAGAGTTTCCTTTTCTACATATCCCTGCCAACACTTGTTATCTTTTTAACATAGTAATTCTAACAGGCCCGAGTTTCAATTTCCCCCAGGTATTAGTGAAGCTGAAAATGTTTTCAGGTACCTGTTAGCCATTTCTGCATTTTTCTTATTGTTTAAAAGAACTATTTATTTGGGACCTTTACCTTTTTTGTTTTTTCATCAGGTTGTCCTCCTGATTTATGTTATTTCTTTTCATATTTTGGATATGAACCCCTTGTCAGATGTATGGTTTGCAAATATTTTCTCCTCTTCCATGAGATATACCTTCAACTCTATTGCTTATTTCTTTTGCTGTGCAGCTTTTTAGCTTCTTTTTTCCCCCTGGTACCAGGAATCGAACTCAGGACTTTGCACCTGCCAGACAGGTGCTGCATTACTGAGCTATTTCCCCAGCCCCTGTGCAGCCTTTTAGTTCAATATGCCATTTGTTTACTTTTGCTCTCCTGCTTATGTTTTTGGGCCATATACAGAAAATAAATGCCCATATCTGTTATAAAAAAATTTCCCTGAAGTCTGCTTTTAGAAGTTTTATAAGTTCAGGTCTTATGTTTAAATTTTTAACCCACTTAAATTGATTTTTGTATACGGTGTGTGTAACTTCATTCATGAGCACATGGATATCTAGTTTTCCCAACCCTGTTTTTTGAAGAGATCACCCGTTCCCCATTGTGTGTTCTTGATACTTTTGCTGAAAATCCAGTGAACCATAAATGTTTGGATTTATTTCTGGGCTCTCTCTTCTGTTCTTGTGGTCAGTTTCTGTATCACTACCACTATTTTGATTGCTATACATTAAAGATTTTCAAACCTTATAGTGTGATGTTTCTGGCTTTATTCTTTTTGCTTATGATCAGCTTGGTTATTCAGAGTCTTCCATGGCTTCATATGAATTTTACAATAGTTTTTTCCATTTCTGTGAAAAACTTCAAAGGAATGTGATAGGCATTGCACTGACTCTGTAAATCACTTTGGGTACTATAGACATTTTCACAGTACTAATTCTCCTAATTTATAAGCATGAGATATATTCTTTGGTCTCAGAAAAGGAAGCAGAGCTTTGTTTTCTATTTGGTACAAGTTGCCTAACTTGTTACAGATCAGGACTTCTGAATAGCACTGCCTTGTGTCTAACGTTTTTCTTAAAACTTCAATAAGTGATTTAAATATAAGTACAAAATTTAAGAATTAATTCAATTTAAGTTTTGAATACTAGCATTTAACGATTCCCAGCTACATGTCTAGAATTAGAAACATACAATAAAAAATGAAATATTCAAAGCAACTTCCCATAGGGTGAAGCGAGTTACCAGAAGGCGGATACTGTGTACTACGTAATGGCTTATGTCTAGATGTCCCCAAGGTCTCATGTGGTCACAGGTGGGGCTTTTTAGAGGTGGCTGAATCTAGATTGTGTGATGCTGGGATTCAAGAATGTGTGATTACTAAATCATTCCACCAATTAGTTTAACATTTATACTCAGAACTGAGTATGGACAATGGGCAGGACTTCCCTGAGGATGAGAGGTATCCACCCTAAGCGTGTGTAACCTGGATATACTACACTACAAGGTACAGAAAGAAGGCTGCTTTACTGCCTTTTTGTTTTCTGCCTGCCATGAACTGCTTCTCCTCTGCAGTGCCCCTCTGTCATGCCATCCTTACCTTGGAGTCTGCATACTGTGAGTGAAATAAATCTTTTTTCTCTTAACCTGTGGGGGTTGGGTACTCTGTCTCAGCAATAAGAAAAGTAACTAAGACACACTTGTTCAATGTCTCAAATGGGTAGAGCTCATCAATGAAACACTGGGTACTAAGCTCTGTTGTATTTTCAAGAGTCTCAATGTTAGTATCACTGTGATTTTCTCTTCAATGTAGCTACAGAAGCAAAGACAGATACTGAACAAATAATAGGGGAATCTTCTCTTAAAAGGCTCTCCACATTTCTGTAGAATCATCAGAATCAACTAAGCTTTGCCTGAAGTCTAGGCTTTTGTTTAAAAAAGAATTTACCGCTGGGCATGGTGGCACACCTCTGTGATCCCAGCACCTGGGAGGCTAAGATACCAGAATGGCCATGAGTTTGAAGCAAGCTTAGGCTATACAGTGAGTTCAAAGCAAGCCTAAACTACACAGTGAGACCCTGGTTAAAATATATATATATATAAAAATAAAAATCAAGAATTTATTTTGTATTGCTTACCCAAGGATTTATTTTTTTCTCTGTGCTGGTGATTGAATCCAGGTAGTGCTAGACTGTACGTGCCTCTAGTCTTCTCCACTTTAAGACAGTGTCTAGCTAAACTGTTCAGGTTGGCAATGAACTTGCCATCCTCCTGCCTCATGGCCCACAGCACTGTGGTTTGGATCACACATGTGTGCTACAGCACTCACTACAGGGAATTCTTAAGTCTGGAAATGAGGAATTACTTGAGATCAATTTCATTTTCAGTCCTACAGGGATTTTCACAAACTTAACCATGGCAATCAGAACATCAACATTATCCATAAAATGGAAGGAGTAGGGGTTGGTTCTAAGGCTTCAAGGTAGCCAAGGTGAATATTTAAGATGTGCTTCAACAAATAATAATTTTTATTTCTATAAGTTACAGAAGGGGGAGCAAAAAAGCAAATATAAATACAAACAAATGGCTTACATTTATATGTCTAGTAGAAAGACTAAAATAGCTTTAAAAATACTTTTGAATACATCAGAAATATTACAAACATTTGAAAGTTGTGTTTAGACATGAAAGGGGAAAATAAAGACTTATATCTGAGGGCAAATGGTGTACCATTAAGAAATGACAATAAACAAGTAATTGCTTAATTCTAATTTTACTACTATTGCTTCTATTAGGGAGAAGGATCTTCACTTGATCAACAACCACAGAAACAGACACAAAAAGGATGCATCGTTCTATTTTCCTAATACACAAAGCCATCTATGACATTAGGGATCAGGGTAATTGTTGCTTCTCAGAGTAGGCAGGGCCTTGGAAGGGGCTCTCTGATAAGAGTATTTTCTTTCTTATCTTAGAAACTGATGGAGCTAATGTGTCCATTCATAAAAATTTTTCATCCAGTTGTATATTCAAGATGGGTAGACTTTTTTGTACATACATGTGTTACATATTAATAAAACATTAAAAAGAAGCTAAGTTCAAAGTGCTAAAACTGGCAAAAAGTTAAACTGTATTTTATGAAGCTTAGGTTTAGTTTATTTCTGAGGTCCAAATAACCTAAGAATACGAAAGAATTTTTGCAAATGTGATTGTCAAAAAGCTCTACGTCCACAAAGGAATTAGGCATTAACATGACACTGGAGTTGACAAGTATTTTTCAAATTTAGTAAAAAAATGAGTGGGGAAAGGGCACAGAAGAATGGATTTTAAGAACTACACACTATAAGCAGCATGACACAGTGGACAAAAACTCAAAACTTGATTATGTAAGCATTTAGAAAAATAAGATAACTCCAATTAATCTTTAAAGTTTCAGATTATATGTAACTTCTGGGAGGCAGTGTCGCAGCGCCTGCCTGGCAAATGTGAGGCCTTGAGTTCGAGTTCCAGTACCCACAAAAACAAGTAACAACAACAACAACAAAACCAATACATGTAACTTCAGACAAAGTCATCTTTGAATTTCCAATTTGACAAAAATTTACCCTGCTAACTTTTATAGCTACCTTTCTCCAGCATTATTCACAGGTTGTAAAGATGTATTTGGTTATATAATTTTTAGATGTACTATCCAACTGCATGTGGCAGATGCTCAAATAAAGATGCTTATATAAATAACCAAATAAAGAAATTTCTGATGAAGATTTACAAGGAGCTTCTAACAAACAGAACCGGTACTCAAAGTTTAGAGATTTGAAGAGCAATCTAGCCAGTATTCAAACCAAAGTGCATATTAAATAAAAGGTCTATTGAATTCTGGTGACATGAAAGAGTATGTATTTTCAAAATCAAGCCATTCCCTCTCTTTAAAACTGAAAAGCTTACAACAGTAATTTAATATAGGAAGGAATTTGAGAGTGAATTAGATCAGGGAAAAAAGTCTAAACACTGAGGCTCGAAATAAATTTCAAATCTATCAGAAAGTACATACACAGAGGGAATTCATTATGTGTATTTTATTGATTGGCAGATGAAATATTTGCTTCAAATAAAATGGGTTCACATGGAAATCTGATGGTAACTCCAAAGTCCTTCAAAAAATAATGGAAGAAAATAATTTTAACATATTCACAGGGGGCTGTAATTTGTATGTCTTGTTGGGTGGCTCTGAACCACCAGTGAAACATGCAAGGAAGTCTTAACAGCAGTAACCTTCCACTGGTAAGATTTACTTTTTTAAAAGTATCTTTAACAATTTATGTAACTTCTACATGGGAAAGAGAAAAAAAAATCTTATATAGCACACATCCCACCAAATGTGTTGTTAAGGAAAAAGCATCTAACTTCATCTGATGTGAAAATTTCAATACTTCTCACAGTGCCTCTTATAATAAAAGGAAGCTATTATTATGTATCATTACAAGCTAATGATGTGTTTTTAGGCTGTATAGTTTTAGGGAGGAACATTAATCTCTCATAGTATTTTCATAATTCAAGTTATATAGAATTTTAACATCAGAAAGCACTATTAGTTAGTTTTCTTTAAATTTGTATCACTCAGGACTGGGGATTTAGTTCAGGGGCTCAAGAACTTGCCTGGTAAGCACAAGGTTAAATTTGATCCCTGGTAGAAAAAAAAGAAAGAAAAGAAAAGAAAAAGCGAATTTGTGTCATCCTTACCTTTCGTAGTTCAACTGTCACTTCATTTCTGTGTCTTCGCATTGTCTAAGAAAAATAAAGAATACATAAGCATTAATGTATTGGTAATGCTGGTATATAATTTAGAGCCTAAGCATTTGAGACTTAAAGTTTTTTAGAAATACCTTAAGGCTTTGGACAGTCATTTCAGATTTTAAATGCTGTTATAATTAGGCAAAAATTCAAAACTCTTGTTTTACTGGATAGCCTCTGCCTATTTTTGCTTTGCTAAAGACAGAAAGTGAGGCTTGGCCACTGAGGACTCATTCTCTGTCTTACAGACACCCAGTTTTCTTTGAAGTATCCTTCCCACTGTACACAGTTTTCATGCAACCTAAAGTTCTTGCTTTGTGCTGACATTTGGCCTACCCCAAGTGTGTCTGTGAGGATCCTCTCAGAAGAAGACTCGCATTTCAGCTAGTGGGCTAAGATGCTAAGATCTGCTATCAATGTGGTGGGTATCAGCAAAGCAGCTGGGAGATCACACAGGAAAAAAGGCAAACGAAGGATGAGCTCTCGCTTTCTTCTAGTGCTGGGACGTCTCTCTTCCCCTGCCCATGGAAATCATTATTTCAGGTTGGCTCTTGGAACTTGCACCATTACCCTCCCCTATTTTTCCCTCTCTTGTTTTTTGCTTCAAAATAAACCGTATTACTGGCTTTCCTGGTTCTCCAGCATGCAAACAGCTTATCATGGGACTTTGTAGCCTCCAGAATCAAGTGAGACAATTTCCCGAATAAATTCCCTCTCAGACCTTTCTCTATATGTCTGGATCTACTACCAATTTTCTCTCTTGAGAACCCTAAAACAGACCTTACATAGATACCAGTCCAAACAAACTTAAAATATGTGTGTGTGTGTGTGTGTGTGTGTGTGTGTGTGTGTGCGCGCGTGTGTATGTGTGGGACAACTAGAAAACAATAATTAGACAATCAAGTAGGCTTCAAGGTATTATTGGTAGGGTTGTGGTGTAGTATGGTGTGTGTGAGGAATATGATAATGGTGTTGTGCTTTTTTAAAGAGTCCTTGCATTTTATTTAATTAATTTATTTATTTAGTCTTTTTTTGAGATGGGGGGTCTCACTATGCAGTTCAGGCTGGCCTTGAGCTCACTTTGTAGCCCAGGCTAGTCTCGAACTCGCAACGATCTGCCTTCCTCAGCCATCCGAGTGCTGGGATTACAGGGTGAGCCACCACACCCAGCTCTATCATTCATTTATTTTTGTTAAGAGTAGAAATTATTGGAGAAAGGACTGGGCAACAGGAATGAGGAACAGGAATAGCTCCTAAGAGACAGAAAAGGTCTCAAGTGGGCTGTATTTTAAATAGCATATACCTTTTTAATTAAAAACAAAAAACACCAAAAACAGCACATGTCACTTCTGGAAGACCCCTTTTCTTTGAGAAGTCATCTGTTCCCTTACAGCTGAATTCTGGCTATAACAAAAAACACATTCCTAATGTACTCCTAAACTCATTAAAATAGTAAGAGGGCAGAGGAGTCAGTAAAGTCAAACCTAAGGAGAAAGAAGTAAAAAGTAAGTAAGTGCAAAGTATAAGGTAGCTGCCTGTTTGATACCAGAATATTAAGCCCCATCCTGGATACAAGGCTGGAGAGCTAAACCTTAAGATTTCTCAGATGAGCAGAACTTCAAAAGAGCCAAAATGCCCATTTCTCAAGAGAAGCAATTTACATATTTACTACAGAAAATCAGTTCCATTGGGCCCTTGGGGTTAAGTAAAAGTTAGCAAATACACAAGAAAACAAATTATCATAAACAGATTCATAAATATAAGAATGAAAAGTAACAACAGGAAAAGTATCAGTTCACTCCTTTTGGAGTTAGAATACTAGAATTAAGTAGAAAATGTAAAACAACCATAATAACTATTTAAAGCATAGAAAAATGAAATTTTAAAATTAGCCTAAATAAATTATCAGAAATGATCAGTAGCTTTGAAAAGTAAGAATCAAATACAACTTTGAAATATGAAAAATTGTTGAAACACAAAATCATGAAAAGATGAAACAACATATTTAATAAGAAATTTCGTGAACTCTTAGATCAGAAAAAATTACAAAATAAGAGACACAATGATAATACAGAAAAGAAATAAACATAGAGGATATAATGAGTTACAAATAATATTTATGATCCAAAAAGATAAAGAGATTGAACAGAAGCCACCTTTGAAGAGACAACAGCTAAGAATTTTCCAGAACTAATTACAAACAATGATGAGCCAGGGATTCAAGAAAACCAAGAGGGAAAGTTAAAATAAATGCATACCTGGAATACTATAGTGAAACTACAGAGCACCACATGGAAAAAAGAGAAACTCAGACACATTACCTTTAAAAAGCATCAGACTATCAGGTTTATAGTAGCACAATTCATAATATAACAGCTAAATCTTGGAAGTAGCCTATTAGGCATTTATACACAATGGAATATTATTCTGCCATAAAAAATGTGAGAAAATGGATACAGCTTGAGACCATGTTAAGTGAAATAAATCCAACACAAGCTTAAATATTTCGTGGTAAAAAAATTTTTTTTCATGGTTCCTCTTATAAAAAGCAAAATGAAAAGACAATAGGAGGTAGGGAGGCAGATCTTTCCCAAACGGGAAGGGAAGAGACAGAGGGAGAGAAGAGGAAGGGGAAAGAATAGGGATGAAATAAGGAATTGTGATGTGTTATGTACACGCATCAACTCCACACAAGGAAGGTAAACATCGTGTACTACAAATGTGAACTAATAAAGAAGTAACTGAAAAAATACAATTTAAAGTCTAAAAGAAGCAATAGACTAATAACTTTAAAAATTCTCTATTAATTTTACTTGCTTATAAATGGGCCTTATAAGTTGTTATTTCATTGGTCTACAATTTCACTAGCAAATTGTAAAGCACAGTTTAAATATTTTTAAAATAACATACCTTTACAGCTTTCTACTTTATTTTGTCCTGAGAACAATTTCAGAATCTTTTTAATAAAATAAATTCAAGTGGTTTAATTTTATTGCAATTGTATAATTGACACTTTACTTAAAATTTCAATATTTAAGAATCCAATGAGAAAAAATGTTCAACATCTTAGTCATTTGAGAGATGCAAATTAAAACACCATCTTAACCCAGAAAGAATGGCTATTATCAAGAAATCAACCAGTAACAAATGCTGGCGAGGCTGTGGAGTGAAGGAACGCGTTTCCATTTTTGGTGGGAGTGTATACTGATGCAACCACTGTGAAATCAGTGTGGAGATTCCCCCAAAAACTAGGACTAGAGGTTTCATTTAACTCAACTACTCTCCTTCTCAAAAGAATTAAAAGCATCACACCACAACAATATATGCACACCCGTGTTTACAGTGGCACAGTTGGTAATAGTTAAATCTAAAAACCCAAATGCCCATAAACTAATGAATGGATAAAGAAGATGTGGGTTTTTAATACAATGGAATACTATTCAGCCATAAAGAAACATTTCTAGGTAAACAGATGTACCTTGAGGCCATACTCTTCAGTGACATACACCGCACACACATGCGTAAATACTGGATTGTTTTTTGGGTATAAGAAACTGAAATTGCAAATAAGAACCAAAATGTGTAATACACATTGTAAAACAGGAAAATGATACTAAAATAGCGAAGGGAACAAGTCAGGGGGAGGGGAGAAAGAAGAGAAAAGTAAAAAGAAATGAGAAAAGAAGGGTAAAATGAAACAATGTTTCTGCAAAGAGGGAGAAGAGGAGGGCTGAAAGGAGGAGCCCGAATGGTGGACAAAACAACAGTTACGTACAGGTACAGGTTCTCTGCGTGAATGTGGTCATTGCACAGTTACGTACAGGTACAGGTTCTCTGCGTGAATGTGGTCACTGCATATACGTAAAATGTATCAAGAAAATCTGATTGGGGAAAAAATCTCATGAAAGTCACTTTAGAGAAATACTAAAACAAAAAAAGAAAAAGAAAACAACAACAACAACAACAAAATAGAGCATAATATTAGCATATAATTTCGGAAGTTCTGGGGCCATTAGAAGGTTCTGTTAACTTCAGGCTAAGAATTTCTATAACGAAAATAAATCAATAATTTCAAAATGTACACGAGTGGGATGGGAGGATGATAAAAGTATTTAAAATTGGACTGCAGTGACAGTTACAAATTTACTAAAATCAAACTGTATACTAACAATCAGTGAATTGTACAGAACATAAACTTTATCAGTAAGAATACAAAAGAACAATCTCTTCCAATAGAAACATTTATTCTATGTTTCTTTGGGACCCTGAATATTTTCCTGAGCATGCTAACTGAAGCAAGTATATAAATTTTATTTAAGGAAAACAAAGTAGGAGACAAAAAATTTCTGGATTTGTTTGACTCCTTATATTTAAGAGACACAAGATTGCCCTCTTAAGTAGTAACATAACTAGAAAACAAGATGTGACTCAAAAATACGGTGAATGTTCATTTTTTAATTATCTCAGTAAAAGACAGTGCCATCAATCCCTCTTGCTTTGAACATACTTATCCCACCTTTCTTGCAGTTCTGGAGGTCCTTTTTTTTGAGTCTTTGGTTATACTGTCATGGCTTTTTGTCCTGAATTAATTCAAAAACCTTTACTTTTTATGGTCTTTTTAATTTTTGAGAAGAGTCAGGAATTGCACAGTGCTAGATCTGGTAAATTGGATAGATCAGGACACACTATGTTTTTTTTTTTCACAATTCTGCTTTCCAGAACCACTACCAAAGGGCCAAAAAGATGGAATACATGTATTTAAAGTGAAAGAATTTTGAGGTGGATTAATAGCAGTTAATGTTTTTAAATAATTATTTATTTATTTATTTATTTATTAAGTAAATAAATATTTATTTAAACATCCACCATATAGTTGTGGTCATCCCTTGTAGCTCTGGAATAAAAAGACTACAGGACACTGGGCCCACAAGTTTGCCAATTGAGCATTCATGACAAAGTTGAATTGAGAAAAGCAATGACAGGAATAACACAGT